ATCGTCTTCGAGTTCCTGAGCAAGGGTACTAACACTATAGAGTAGAAGTGAATGAACTAATTGTATATCGGACTTCTACAGTGGTGTAAATGTATCGCATGTAGACAGGAATCACAGACTTGTTGTATCGTCACCGGAATCAGCTATGTGGCGCATCAGCCCGCATTTGTTTACGGCTGCTTCTCCTAGTGTACTTTCGTACTCTGACCTTGCTGGGGTTCTCGCGTCCTTCAAGGCTCATATTCGGTCGAGTCACCTTCAACAAGGGACCCTCACACGAGCACTACCTTTGGCGCGGACACAATCCAGAGTTGACGTGGTCACAGCAGTAGGTGTTTGAAGGTATGCCTTCTGCACTCTACTCTTCATTATGGTTCTTCGTGTCCATCGACTCTCCTCATTCCGGCGCCTCAACCGCTCTATGGCATGCTACGGCGCAGGCGCCACGCATTTCCATCGCTTCGAAATATTTCGTGGCGCGGATGCAAAACGTGTCTACTTTCTCGCCATTCTCTTCATTCCCGCCGCCTGTCTCTAGCATGGACTGAGGCTCTTTCATTTCAGACTCTCCGGAACATCGCCCGACGACACCCAACAATATCTCGGAGGTGCGTTCTATGCCGACTTTTGCTTCGGCGCGTAATCCATTGTCTGTCTAGGTTTCTTGCAAGCTACTCCAAACGTCGAATTATACCCTAAAACCGACTCTTTGAACGCCTTGCATATGGCAGAAGCGACTGCGACGTTCAAAGACATCCCCGAGCTCTTCGAGGTGAGCGCGCAGCTCCGTTTACATCACTGCTATTGCTGAGCGCACTCCCCCAGGTCGACCTTGGAGAGTCACTCACCGCCCGCACTGAGAGCCTTTGTGAGTGTGCTGGTATTGCTACCGAACCAACCTTGACGCGGCGCACGCAGCAACATTTAGGGAGCTCGGACCACCCGATCTGTGCCATGTCGTGAAAAGCACCGGAAAAGCCGGCCAGCGCGACCTAGGCTCATATCACTTCGTCTCGGGCGTCGACGCTTCCTCATCTGCCTCGCTGGCCGCGTACATCAACTCCCTCACCTACGCGATCGAGGACTCGAACGCGTGGTTCTCCAAGACCCCGGTGTGGAAAGTTCGCAACGGATGCTACTGCTGCTTCAACGCCTTCGCCCGCGTCGACTTCCGCGTTGACGTCAAGATCCCCGGAGGTGTGAATGCGTATGTGGTAGATCTGCGAGGCGAGCGGTGCGTTGCTTCGGGTTATCGTCGCTTCCAGGGCTGACTTCAGCTAGACACGAAGCCACGGCCGATATGTGGCAGGAGACATTTGTCTCCGCTCTCCTACGTGCGATCCTCTATTCAGATGACCCCGCTCATGCCCTCGATGCATACCGCAAACTCGATCCCATCACCTCCCCCGAAGGCGAGCTGCGCTTCCTGGCTGCAGCGGAGTCGTTGTTTCTCAAGGGTGCGTTGCCTTCCTACATCCAACTCCCCGCTCACTTTCGTTCAGGCTGGCAAGTCGGCTCAGATCCAGAAATCCAGGTTGCGTCGGTGACGACCAACCACCTCACCGCCGGACTGTTCAAGTACTTTGGCGCCTCCGGACGCTACCAGCAGGCCGCGAACCTTTTCGAGAAAATCGCGGTGCGCGAGCCCGAGGTCAACTCTCTCCTGGCGCGCGCGTATCTTGGAATGCGTATGGGCGCTTCTCGTCCCTTATCGTAGTACATGCTGACCTCCCACCGACAGATGAAGAAGTCAAGGCGCTGCAGATCATGTCAACGGCGCTGCGCAGTGCACCGGGGCCTGCATCCTACACGCTCCTGCATGCGCAGTGCGACTTCCTGCGGGACAAGGGCCGCGCGGACTGGGCGCTTAAGCTGGCGAGGCAGGCGGTCAACGCTGCCCCCAGCGAGTTTGTCACCTGGGAAAAGCTCACAGAGGTCTACATCGAGCTGGGCATGTTTGAGTCGGTGCGAGTCGATTCAGATTCATCGGCATCGTTTCTGATGGTCACTGCAGGCACTACTCACTCTCAATTCGTGCCCGATGTTCACGTTCAACGGCCGTGACGCACATCGCGCGCTGACGCCCTCCCGCGTTCACCTGCCGTTTCACCGCTCAATAGGCGAAATCCTACCGGATCGCGTCAAGACGGAGGATGACGAGGTACGTTTCAGCTTGTCGATGACCGAAGCGAACCGACCAAATCTTTAGGCCGATCCTGCTCTGCAACGACTCCCCGCGCCAGGGCTCCGTGGCACTTGGGCCCGTGCGTATGCACTTCTCACGCGTCTCGTTGCCCAGATCGGTTGGGACGAGCTTCTCAAGACCCGGAGCTCCGTATTCGTGATGGAGGAGGAGTATCGCATGCAGAAAGCTCAGGGCGACTTCACCGGCCACGGTCGCACGGAATCCGCGGAGGGGACGACACTTGCGGATGGTGATGAGGACAATGCGTCGACGCGGGGGATGGTGAGCCCCGGGGGCAGCGCCGTCTCTGCTGCGACGAGCCCGCTTAGTGCGACTGTACCCGAGATGAATGGCAACGGCACCGCCAAACCGAGCGAGAACGGGATCCCAACGATCCGCATCTCCACGGAGTCGGATCGCGAGGACAAGGACGCGGGTGCCGTTGCGGTGGATTCGCTGGAACGACCAGTACAAGCTGCGGCGGGTGACGAGGAGGCGGACAACACCACCGGCATGGACACGGATGCGAAGAAGGCGAAGGAGCCGGCTTCGCCGCTGCCGCAGGAGCCGTTCTCCTTCAGCAACAAGCGGTTATGCGAGCGGTGGCTGGATAACCTCTTCATGGTGCTCTATGAGGTCGGATTCTTCCTCGTTTGGTTGGCGCGAAACTGACCTCGGATTAGGACCTGCGAGTGTGGACTATTTTCCGCGCAGAAGTAGCGCACTTCAAGACACAGCACGTCGCGTACCGCAAGACGGGCCTCGAGTGGGAGATCCTTGGCGATTTGGGGATGCGGCTGCATCACAAGGAGGAGGCGAAGGAGGCGTACCAACGGTGTCTCGACACACCCCGTTACTCTGTCAAGCCGTGGAGCAAGCTCATGGAGATGTATGCAGACGAGGGCGACATCCAGCGGTCAATCCAGACAGCGATCCGCGTTGCAGCATACCAGTATGCAGAGTACACAGAAATGACGGTGTGTTTGTATTCCTGCCGTCAAAGCCCAACGCTGATCAGTAAACAGTTCCCCACACAAATCGCGCAGTGTTTCTTCAAATTGGGCAATGTCCACGGGCATGCCAAAATCTCATATACGTTGCTCAGCATGGGTCTTCCGGAACCGATTCTCAAAATTATGGACAGCTACTTGCAGTATGGGAAGACCTTTAAGGTCGAGGGGTACGACTACTAGTTTCCCATATACCGACGGCAGTATGCTGTGTATCTCACTTTCGTCTAATTGGCGTGCTATTCTATTTTCTTTTCGTTGGTACATTCCACGTTGTGGTGCTGGATGCTGGGCCTTTTGTACACTGACAGCAGCGCCGCTGCATATTCTACTTAATGCATTATGGTTCCTCGTTTGTATGCAGCCATAGGCCAAGAAGATTACAGGTGAATATGCGTATAGGTGTAGTACAAATGCTCTATGGCGGAGGTACCCTCCAGTACTCGCTCGGTGCGAAGCCCGTCTTGAATGCGGCGACGGAGTTGCGCGCGCTCGTGCGCAGCGGACCCGGGGCCTCGCCGTCAGATCCCTCGTCGAATCCCGTGCCAAGCTTTCGCGCAAGCTCGCGAACAGCATCGTCCTCGCGCACCCAGGCGCCTTCGCGCGCCTCGTCCGTCCACCACGCCACAGCGCGCGCGCGGAGGTCGGGCACACGCATTACGGCGCCGCGCGTGAGGCGTAGCAGCTGCAACCGCACCGTGGTCTGCTCTGCGGCCCGCATTGCCGTGAGCGTCGGGTTCACGAGGGCGGCAGCAGACGCTGACGGCGGGAGCATGTGCACCACCGGCAGCAAGACTAGGAAAAGTAGTCGCCGGAGAAGGTAGAGGGTATCGTGCCACTGTGTGGCGAGTTAGGCGGCGGGTATGCGTGTATAGACGGTTGTGGCGCACCATGAAAACCGGCTCATCGTCTTTAGGGATTTTGATGGTAACAGTCGAGATGTAGTATGCTTCGACGCAGAATGCTCCCGCGACGGTGGCCACAGCGAGCGTGCGGTAGCGCTCGTGTCCGGAGCTGCTAATGGTCACAAGCTGCAGAGTTATTTTAGCGAGCGCACAGAGTGGGTTGAGTGGGGGGCTTACTCCAATGGCGGCAGTTGCGCAGATGTATGAGATCAAAACTCGCGGCAGCGCAAACATCCCGAAGTCGTTGAATGAGAGGCAGTAATCGCACGTTGAAACCACAGAGTGGCCAAATCTAATCGAGTTGAGACATGGAAAGAATACCAAGTGTTTAACCCACCTAACATAATACGTCTTCATGTCAAAGGACCCAAGGTGCTTGAGTAGCGTCTCGAGTGGCGTCGGAAGGTCTCCAGTGTCCGACTGCTGGATCAAAACGCTCCGGATCGCATCGGGAGGCGTGTTCAACGGGATCTTGAGCCGCGTGAAGATATTGACGGGTGGCAAGACAATGATCTGGTACAGAAAGTAGAGAGAGTGCAGCAGGACAAATATATTGAGCAGCGATCGAGTGGAGGTCAAGGGCCGTTCTGGAGCTTTGTGGATGCCGAAATAGAACCATGGGACAATCACACCCACCGCAGTGGTGAGGAAGAGGACGAGGGAGACCCCAGCGGCCATCGCGTCGAGAGAAGAAACACGTCAGGCGCGTAGGGAAATGATCACGTGCAAAGTCTCCGGTTCAAGCAACGACTGGTCACCGAACAATTTCACTGATGCGAGTGGTGGTAACTGCCAACTGCGGGGATGTGTCTCCTAAGCGATGACAAATGGACAAAACTGTTTAAACTTTGGACAGAAAGACGCCAGTCACGTGCAAAGTCTCCGTCCACGAAACAAAACTGAACTCACCCAGGATCGAACTGGGGACCTTTTGTGCACGCAAGACGACTCTTTTGTAAGACAAACGCGATAACCACTACGCCACGAGTCCTCCAAAGAAGGGAAAAGGAGGGGAAATACTATGAAAATGTGCACGGAGACTTGGAACGCTCGATTTCCCAATCCGGATACGAGAGTCACATGGTGTCACCTTTGTCACAACCTGTTCTGCTCGTCCATCGCCCAGCGCCTGCTCGTCCGTCGCTCGGTAGGAGGTCTACTCCTAGTTCTCGCGTAGTGCTCTGCGGCAGGTTTTGAATCGAGCGGAGTCTTTTGCCTCCATATTTATATCATTGTATGAACCGGCACTCAGCACTCACGTTTGAATTACGCGCGAGGCACGAGCGAATATCGTCCGTTTATAAGACACTACGTTTGAATCGGGCAGCGGACTCTCTCGAGTGGACGAATCCAAAAATCCCATCATCCAATATGTCCGCATTGGGAACCGAGGAAGGAAGAATCAAAAATGGGCCATATCAACTTTGGCCTTGTTGATCAACTTGTTCCTTTCAGTTCTTCACTCCAATTCACGCTTCCAATGTTCCATGTTCATATCGCGTCTCGGAGCCCCTTGGACCGTGACAGCTTGGTCCCGCGCAATCTGAGCACAGCCTGGAGCCTAACTCTGTTGATTCTTGTCTGGTACACTTCACGCGGCAAAATGCTGGGAGGCGCGGTTGAAGACACCATATCCTATGCCCGCGATTCGTTGCTTCACTTAATTAGTCCAATTATGCTCTGGAATTCAATCCTATCCATCGATCTCATTTCGTCTCTTCGGCTCTCCTCGTCGTTCCTCGTGCCGGTATCCCGACCTTTCGAAGCTGTCGGGCGGAAGCAACCACGCGTATCACGCGTCATTCGTCTCTTTTGGGCAGTCGCTCGACCAAACGCAAGGGATCGCGCGGATGTAAATAATTTTGGGGCGGGATCCGGCGTCAATCCAGACCGAGGGTATACAATGGCTGTCACCCGGCCTCGAGAGAACCACGCCCGGCGTATTTGGCGCGGAATCCTGCAAATGCGCGGTCGTTCTCGATCCCTGGGCTGGGATATTCAAGTCCCGACCCCGGACGGCGACATTTTGACCCAACGCGCCTTTCTTTCTTCCTCTTCCTCGCCCTTTTCTCCTCCAAATGCCTGCTCTGAAACGCACGGTAAGCACCATAGAATTCTACATGTCGCGTCCCTGAGCGTTTCTTACAGGGCAGCGCTGTCTCCAAAAGTGGACTGGTCAGCGCGCGCAGCTCTTCACACCACCCCGCATGCACTGACCTTTCTCAAGCCGCCGCCGAGCAAGGTCGGGCGCTCCCATGGTCCCTTGGAAGAGGAGGACGACGATGTCTTCTTCGAAGGCCAACCCGTATGCGCTTTCCTTTTTCTGTCGACCGTGTACTGATAACTCGCCAGATTTTTCCTTTGACAAGCGCCGTCCCGGCTTCGGATGCAAACGGCGTGGGTTTTGAATTTCCTTCGTTTGCTGACAATTTATTCTTTGCCTCCTAGAAGTCGGACGACAAAATGGACGTGGACCTCGCGCCACCTCAAAAGGTTTTCTATTTTCTCCAGGTTTCTTTCGTCGCGACTGATAGAAACAGGCCACCAATAAAAAAACGAAGCCGACAACGGGTCATCGGCCTATCAACTCTTACTTCAACGAGCCCATCAAAGTGCCGAGCACACCGCCAGTTTCGCGCAAAGAGGGCCGACGGCTAAAAGTCCAGGTCAGTACTAACTCGGTCTAATGCGAGATGTGCCTTATACTTTGTAGGATGTTTCACCTGAAGCTTCATCCAGCGAAATAACAACATCTGGTGCCGCGGTAAATATCAGTGCGACTGTTTTCGGACTTTTTCTCATATCCTACTAGCCCAAAACCAGGGCCGAGAAGCGCAGCGCCAAAAGACAGGGAAAACCTGCCAAAGATGCTCGCGAGAAACGGAAACTCTCCGCCGCCACCGCTCAGGACGACATTTTGGCGGTCGATTGGTTTTCTCAAACCCCCGAATTGCTATCCCGTTCTCGCACCATAGACAATATCATCAACGCGTATGACCCAGATGCATCCATCGCCGAACAAAAATCCATGCTACGCACCCTCTTCAACACAACATCAGACCTCGACTCTGTCGAGCGCGTCCCCGACGATAGCCCGTTTTGGACGATCTTCGCCAACATGGACGTGGCCACGACCCGTTTCTTCTTCTCGCTGGCCCGAGGGCTTCAGTTGGCCGATATCCAGCAGGCTGTTGATGCGGGCGTCCTACGGCTCAGTCCACCGAACGACCCGAAACCGGTAGTCGGAAATCTTGCATACATCCGCGTGGGTGATTGCCAAAGTCCGCTCGACGCAGGCCGTGCATGCCTCGTCGCCGGTCCCTCAGATACTCCTTGGACTTTGGTGCGCCTCATCGACCTCGGAATGCCTCTGGACGACGTCGAGGTTTGCGTTGGCGAGGTTCTCGAGCCTTTTGGACATCGCGGCGCGGTGCAACCACTCTTTTCTCGTTTGAAAGATGAAACCACTGTTCACTCCCCACGAGCGTCCGTTGGGAGTCAGTCATGGCTTTATTCAGGCACATCTGAGGAGAAACAGCCCGGTGACCGGCACGCAGATGATGAAGCAAAGGCCCTCAAAAACGATCTTCAATCTCGGTTTGGGCGTTTTCTACAGCAAACCGCGGGTCGCTGCTCTTGGAGGTGTTACGAGATCCTCCCATTCCACCTTCCCAATTCCTCCGGAATCCGAGTAGACCCCACCCCGAGCGCGGTAGAAAGATTTGTTATCGCGATGCAGGCCGGTAGAGGTCTCAACTCGGCGGTTGGCGGTTTCAGTCGCCCATATATCCCTCCCCCCGCGCTCCGTGATCTTATCTCCTCCTTACCCCCGCCGATGTATGGCCAGCATGCCACACCGATTTCGGCTCGCGTCAATCGTCTCTACGATGACGAAAGATCCTCCGTTGTTCATCACGGACACCCTGAGATGCCCGACGCCTCATTCCGAAGTGCGATCAAGAATGCTTCATCCGTTCTGCGCTCGAATGGACACAGTATTCCTTACTTCCGAACTCTCAAGGACATCAGCTTTGAGGACTTTGTGGGTGAAGACAAGGCCCCGTGGCAAGCCAATACCGGCAAAGCGCTTCAGCTCTTCCGCCATAATCTGTGTCTTCTTGATCCCGAACTCTCTCGTGATGGAGATCTCTCGGAAGAGGAAATTGCGCTGCGTGTGGGGCCTTCCGCAGACTGTTGGCGGGTAGTAACAGGTCAGCCTGATTACTGGTTGCACGCGCTATGGATGACGCGCCTTTGGATCGTCATCGAGCCCGTCGTCCTCTCTATCTGGTCCCATCCCATACTCTCCTCATTTATATCCGGCAGCTTCCACATTGTGTGGCAAGGCCTCCCAGATTCCATCCGTGACGCGGTTCTTTCTGGAAACACACCGCTCGACATCCACGAATACTTGCCACCTTCCCATGGCAACTCAAACTGGTGTCCCCAGTGTGCCCATGACAAGTACCTAGAGTCTGTCGGCACACTATTTATCGCTCGGTATGGCCCAAGGCCGACCCATATCCTCCTCTTGATCCCGAATCTAGACTGTGGGGTGTCAAAATACCGGCCCGGCGAGTCCTTCTTCGTCGAGACCATCATTCTCATAGTGTCGGCAATCGAGCGGATCGCTTTAGATCACGTCCAACGCCTGCATGACCAAGGTATCAACCCCGACCGTACCGACAAGGAGCGCGCTTGGGAATACTTCCGACTGATCAAGGCCGAGGTGGAAAGCGACGTCACCTATGTTGCCCTGAAACTGGAGCTCGAGATTGTCAAAGGCAAATATGCTCAGCGGACGACCGTGAGGGCCCACCTCGACTCTCTCGCGCACCCCAATCCCTCCCATTCCTCTCGCGCTTCCCCTGCTTCCCCAGCGGCTGCTCCTTATGAGATCCCTGGAATTACGCGCACATCGGAACTCGGCCCCGCGCGCTTAGCGCAGCTGGACACCATTTTGGCGCATATATCCTCGCTCACCGATGGAGGCTTTCCCGTGGATGCTTTCGGCCTCGTCCCCTTCCATTTGCGAAACCGGATCCATTCCCCCGAATTTCGCGCGTGGTTCCTGTCACTTCCGGCCGGGATTCGCATTTCTGCCTCGGCACGCATCTGGGGAAATTCTCCCGAAGCGTACGCTAATACCATCGCAAACCACGCCAAATTTGCGGGGAACAAGGCGGCCCACAGTGCCGGTGGAAAGGCGACGGCGATCAAATTCCTGGACCGCAAAAGCACCTCCAAAATGCTCCTTCGGTTCTTGGAGGAGGCCGGCGATCTCATTCGTAGGCCGCCGCCGAGGCGGAAGGGGCCTTTGGGGAGCGTAGCCACCCGCGACACCTGGCGTGCAGTCTTATGCGAGACATGCTGGTGTTTGATCGTCGCGGACGATGCCAATGTGAAGCACGCGTGTGCCGGAGAGTCGTTCCCGGTTAACGACGGCAACATACCGAACATCCAGCGGCTCCTCTACCCTCACGATCTTCTCTCCCGTCCCGACCTCGCCGTTTTCGCTCCCGAATATACCGAAATCGTCGCGCCCATCAACATTGCGGACGTCATCAAGCGCCGCGGGAATGCCGCGAAGGCGCGCAAGCTCTTTCCTGATACCGATTTTAGCACGCTCACAGGCGTGATTCACGTCGGGGTCGACTGTACAGATGCAATCTCGCACAACGACCTCCATCTGGGGATGGCGTTGGACATTGCGGTCTCGCAATTGTCGCTGTCTCGGTGTCCGGAGGATATGCTCCCCGTCACAGGCGAAGATCGGTCAAAGGCATGGTCGGGCGACGCCACAAACTGGTTAGATGACCGTATGTTTTATTCTTATGTCTTGAGGCGATTAATTGACACGGCTTAGGGTATTCTGTGGTAAAATGCGCATGGGGCCATTTTGAAATCATGGTTCTGAGAACCGCGAATGGCGAGTCTTGGTTCGACCACCATTGTAAAGGCACCGACATCCGCCGACCCCTCGACCCCTCG